GTCGATTTCAAGTTAGGGCATGAAGAGCCCCTGGGGACATTGTCTTACAAGACTAGTTCCAAACGGTCGCAGTCGTTCTGCCATCTGATTGGTGCCAGAAAATCTTTGTGTTTTTCTGCCCAATCAGAGTGAAGTGTGCTTTAGAGTCCTTTCGTGTGTTTTAACACGGACATATACTAGTAGCTCAGTTGCTCGCTATGTTTGTCTGGACCTTGCGACGGAGATTTGCTTGAGGTGAAAAGTTTCAGTCTCAGCACACAATGTAAGAGAAGTCGATCAGATTGTCCGCGAAAATCTTACCGGAAATTATACCGGAAATTATACCGAAAACAGCATCGGATCGATTCCCAATGATCAAAGGTATTTAACTTGGTCTTAGAGAAACGGGCCCCAGAGGACAAATGTACATAACCATGTAGTGTTCGAGCAGAAATAACATTTGTAATGGCTCAAATGACCTTGTTTTAGTGAAGGCTTTTCAAAAGAGTTGGGCATCCCATGTTTCTAAGACGGAAGCCACCGTGGAAAAATAACAGCAACGAAAAAAGTTATAATCAAATAGCTCGTAATATTCAGTTCATTGGTTAGAATTGTCTACCCCTCCCAACAGGTGTGGTGTTTTAGAATCGACTAGAAAAGAGCGTTGTTCAAGCATAGTTAGTACTGTCCGTTTTGATTATTTTAGTTTTGGATTAATGAGGAGCGATCGATAGGCGACCTGCCTGTGATGCATCACTATTTTTTTTTAAATAAAATCTTGATTAATTTGTCTCACTCACATGAGTTTATTCTCATCAACGACAGTTACACCCACACCAACTCTAATGTTAAGATAATCCGCTTTCATATAACTTCCGTTGTAGATATATATCTGCTGTTGAAAAACTCTTATTGCCTTTTCTTTTCTTTTTCTATTTTTTTTCCTATTCCCCTCACCTTATCTCCTCCCTTTATCTGGTTTCTCCTTCGCAGACCGTAGATCTTTGCTTTGAGAGTAATCTTAGCATGGAAATTAATTTTGCTCTGTTTTCTCCCTTTTAAATGGCATTCTTACGTCAGGTGAGCCGAGTTCTACAAGTTTGATATCATCAACTGCAGTTTCATCAGGTAAAGATGAAAGCTATGTGTGAAATCCTTAAATAGGTTCGTTGTGTGATAGATCTGTGGACGGAGGAGAGCGTTGAATGCCACTCAGTAACTCATTCCCTCTCTCAGTTGCAAAGTGATCTGATTTCAACATCTGCAGATTATCGAGCTCAGTTTTTCGTTCCTAGTTTACAAATTATTTTTTAAAGAACGACGAGGAAAAACGGCCTCTTAGTACTTCTAGTACAAATTTCCACTCTATTTTGTTAATTAAAAGACTTTTCAAGGAAACTTCTTATTCGCATTCTGGTATGACGCCGCACGGGCGGTAGTTTTGTAGTCCATGCTAGTTACATGACTCATCTTCCTTTGTTGATCAAAAGTCATTTAATGGTGTCAAATTATGTCGACGTTGCAACAACCTACGGCGAAGGTCTCAGGTGCTTCCACCTCCCCATTACTCTAGCTTCTTATTATGCGATATCAAGGAATTTCGTACTTAAAAATGAACTGATTTTCTTGAACGAATCCTTTTTTCCAGGTTCCACCGCAGTTGTTACATCCTCGAGCATAGCAACAACAGGTGAGATGGAATTTTGGCCGCTAACCTTTCACTCTTTTTTGTTAATTAAGAGACATTTCCAATGAAACTTGTTGTTCGCATTCCGGAATGACGTCGCACGGGCAGTAGATCTGTAATCCATGCCATTTACATGACATATCTTCCTTGGGTGATCAAAAGTCATTTATTAACCTTTGATGGTATCAAATCATGTTGACATCACAACAACCCACGGTGAAGGTCTAAGGTGCCTTCCCCCCCCCCCTCCTTTACTACTCTAGCTTCTTTTTTGTGATATTAAGGTTACTTCCTACCTTCAGAGGCCGAAAAAATCGTTTATTTTTTTTTGGACTATATTGAAGTTACACATTTTAACTAACGTTTACAAAAGAAAAAATTTAAAAATCTCAAAAAGCGTCCGACTTATTAAGAAAAACGTATTTTCAAATAAAAGTTAATAAATCAGGAAGGTGTCATAATCTCGTAAATGGGCGAACCCCCCCGGGGGAATTTTCACGGCAATTTCAAGTCATTGATTCAATTTTGTTTAC